TCGTTCATCTTATCGAATTCATCAATGAGACAGGTGCCACGGTCCGCAAGCACAAGCGCTCCTCCTTCCAGGGTCCATTCGCTTGTGAGGGGATCGCGGCGGACACTGGCCGTCAAACCGACAGCGCTAGCTCCTTGTCCAGTCGCAAAGACCGCACGGTGGGCAGACTTCTCGACATACTTCAGGATTTGGGATTTGGCAGTACCAGGATCACCAAGAAGCAGGACGTTGATATCCCCACGGATCGACATTTTGCCTTGAGCCTCTTTACGAACACCACCGAAGAGAGAGAGCGCGACGGCTGTCTTAACATCTTGATGGCCGTAGATACTGGGAGCAATTGAACGGATAATCTTCTCGACAACGTCTGGATCGCGAGACAGGGCCCGGATCTCACGTTCGTCTTCTTCTGTCAGATGAAAACCAGCCTGCTGGTCGTGAGATTTGATCACATGGTTGGCTTCGATGATTGTTGCGAAGACAGGGAATCCGTTCTTGTTGTTCAGCTGTGCGTCATAACTGTTACGGTAGATACCAGTGATTTCGATCTCATCTCCAGGCTTGGCTGTGTCGATAAGATCCGCAAGGAGAATCACCTCCCGCTGTCTGGGAAGTCGACCAGCAGGGACAGATCCGGGAGATTCTTGCAGAGTTAGTTTCTGGTAGTTTCTGTACACAGTCCTTTCTGAGTTGACAGTAAATGGGCCTCTAGATGAGCAATTCTGGCAGAAGGAGATCTTCACTTCAGAGCTGGCCTCTTGCTGGAAAGGACCTAGAGTAGTGCCACATTTTCCACAGGTGAACATGACATATTTCAACTGGGGGAAGACACCCGTCCGGCGGGTGACGACTCCACTGACGCGAACGAGACAGTTCAGATGAGACTGGCGCAGTTGGCGGAGGGTGTAGACGATAGGGAGATCGGTAATTCGGACATGAATTTCGTTATGAATGTCATGATATTGTGGGTAGTGGAACAAGGTAACGTCTAGGGCGACCTGGTCGAAGACCTTGAGAACTTCTGTGGGTTCGTTGGCGAGGAAATATCCAAGGACGGCCTTGGTACTGCTCAAGTGCGTGTATGAAACCTCGAGCGAGGCAGAGTTTACCTCACCGAGAGTTTTAATTTTGTTTCCGTAGACCGAGCTACCGGTCGGGTCAGTGAATTCCGTCAAGAAGGCTTTGAATTCTCGGTAAATGGAGCGAAGGACTTGGGGCTGTGTCACCCAGTCGGTAATGTTAGATGATTTGATATCGACTAGCTCTTCTAATGAAAGCTCTTCGAGGCCGTCGTCGACCATCTCGATATCGTCGCGATCCTCGTCGTAAGCGTGTCTACGACGACGCGGCTGTTGAGTCAAATCGATATCGCCATCCTCGTCGTCTTGTAAGAAGGCCGCCGGCATACGGCGCCGCCGTGACAGCTCGAGATCTCTTCTATCCAGTCGAGCCTCGAGTTCACGACGTGCGCCAATATCGATTTCCTCCTGATCATCGTCATCATCAATGTATCTGCCCCGGTAGCGATCGTCTTTTCCGCTCCGATAATCTCTGTCGAATGTGTCACCGAAAAGATCGATTCCATCCTCATCCTCTGCCATCTCCTCGATGTCATCAATGTCTAATTCAGCTTCCTCATCTCGCTCGTCCTCATCATCGTCGAAAGGCAGCATAGGAGGGGAAGAAGGGGGTGCTATAAGCTAGTCAGATCGGTTGCCGCATACACCACAATCTAAAAACAAAACTTACGACTCGAAGGAGGGGCTACTGATGAAGCATCGTCATCGGGCTCTCTGGATCGCTTTCGCCGACCCAGGTTTCCCAAGCCGCGATTCGCAGCAGATGTGCTTGGACGGAGGGGTGAACTAGTAATTGTTTAGCAGAATTAGATTAAAATGGCAGAGAGGGGTCTGCCGCATACCTCATTGTGTGTGTGATGTTATTTGAATGCTAAATCCCCAAAGGTTTGAGCAGAGTGAAGCAATTCGCACAGTTGAGTCTGGGTTTGCAGGCAGGAGAGATCGAACAGCAAGGGAGCGAGTTTTGCTTGGCGGTACCACGATCGACGCGTCGACGCGACTAACCGCGTTTCTGTCAATTAAACCCGATTGGGACATATTGGTTTTCCAGCTCAACGCCGCAACAAGCGTGATTGTGGGGCCTTCTTTTAAGGAATAGGCAGCTCGGAATTGTTCTTCCAATAATAATAAAGTCCCAGAATTCAAGCCGATATCTCTAAAGGGAGAAAACTTCCCCAAGTTTACTCGTGCGCTGAAGGCCGCACCAAATAAAGTGCAAACAAAGCAAACACTTACAGTAAAGCGCTCGCGTTCCCGCGTCGTTGAGATGTACAAGACATGGGCAGTGCATCTATCGAACCTTCACACCTCCACATCAATTTTATCTCTTTTGTTTATCAATTAGTTATCGCAAATTCTTTGTGATTCATGTCAAAGAAGATGAGCAGCGACGAGACCCCCGGAACTCCTGGACTCCCTCAGACAGTGCATGGGGAAGATGTTGTGAACAGGCGGCCTAGCTGCAGCTCTCAGGATTCACAGACTGCAAAACAGTGAGTTAAGAATCAACAATGATGGATATAGCGCATTGCCTCGTAGCTGTATACTGTGAATTTTTATGATACTAACATGCCGTTGGCAGATTCATCGAGTCTCAGATGCGCCTCGAAGCCGACGCCCGCGAAGTGCTTCCATATGTAAGTCGACAAATTGTTCTCCTTTCTCAAGCAAAAGCAACTAACAATGCAGTCATTCGACTCCTGCACACAAAATCTTGGACCTTTACGACAAAGTCTCTTCGCATGCCTTACCTGCAACCCTCCTCCTGCGACCCCGGACGCGCCCTTTACTGCTGCAGGTGTGTGTTATTCCTGCTCCATCATCTGCCACGGAGAACATACGCTCGTCGAGCTTTTCAACAAACGGAACTTTGTATGCGACTGCGGAACGACCCGGATTGTTGAGTCTACGCCGTGCACGCTCCGAAGCGATCCGAAAACCGGCGCAAAAGGCGTTAAGTCAGAAGAAGCGCACCCTGGAAACCGGTATAACGAGAACTTTCAGAACAAGTTCTGTGGCTGTGGTGAAGATTATAATGCACACGAAGAGAAGGGAACGATGTTCCAATGTCTAGGCTTAGGGACGACTGAGACCGGCGGCTGTGGTGAAGACTGGTGGCACCCGGAGTGCCTTATAGGTCTTCCACGGGACTGGTACAAGAACTCGAAGAACAATGAAAGTTTAGAGAACAATACCTCTAGCGAACAAGATGATGGCGATGATGAAACGCCGCTGCCTCCACGATTCCCTGGCGAAGATGATTTTGAAACCTTTCTTTGCTATAAGTGTGTCGAGTCGAACCCTTGGTTGAAGCAGTATGGCGGCACACCAGGATTCCTCCCCCCTGTCTTCAAAGATGGCGGGCTTCAGAATGATGTAAAAGAAGAGGATGTAACTGCTTCAGAAGCTCCAGCAGCCGATTCAGAGAACAAGCCCGACGACAACCCTAGGAAGCGCAAAGCGGAAGACGACGCCGATAGCGAAAACAATAACCAGCTAGCTTCCAAGCGACCCAAAGAAGAAACCAAAGATACGGCCTCTGCACCCGCTGAAGCCAAGCCAGAGTTCGAACAACAGCAGAAGCGGAAACACGAGTCACTCCCCCAAACCATCCCATCAGCTCCCTTCTCCCTTTTCTTCAAAGAAGACTTCCGCGACCAATTCTGCCGGTGTCCGGACTGCTATCCTAATCTAGCCAAGTACCCTCAACTCCGCGAAGAAGAAGACACCTACGAACCTCCTCTTTCTGAAGATGGAGACGGTGCTGGAAGCACGGGTACCGGAAGTATCTATGATCGCGGCGAGGCGGCTCTCAACAACGTCGATCGCGTCCGGGCCATCGAGGGTGCAATGGTATACAACCATCTCCGGGACAAGGTCAAAGAATTCCTGCAACCGTTTGCAGATAGCGGCACAGCTGTTGGTGCGGACGATATCAAGGCCTATTTTGAGAAATTACGAGGCGATGAACAGCACATCAAGGACGCCTCGGGGAAGGGCTCTACAGGCCATGGTGGTGATGATGAGAATGGTAATGAGGACGGGGGCGCGAGGCAAGAACAAAGTGGTATGTGACGACAATTCGGCCATTTGGATTCTCATGCTTTACTAACACGGAATAGGCTACTGAGTTCTCTCCTAACCACCGTATTTTCGGGTTGTTTATGAGGGCTGCTTCTAGTCAGGGCACACTACACAATAATAATGAAATATTAATGCAACGCAGAATATGCACTTTTCATGTCAATATCAATAAGACAAGCTTAATAGCGCAGGCTCCAGCATCCTATATTGCACTCATAATTGCGGAAACACTCCAGTAACCCCAATCGCTTTCCCAGGGAACAATTCAGCGAAGCTCTATTGTTAATCCAGACATTCTAATCCATGTTTCTCGGGCGAAAATAGAATCCCACCCGGACCATCTTATCGGTTTTAAGCACGGCCCGTAACCCCCTTTTTCTCCATGGGATCCAATGGAAATTCTAGGGCAAACCCGGAGAGCATGGTAGTCGCTCCATACTTCCACACCAATCCCCGTCAGAAGATCCTGTACGACTTATGCCTCGTGTACAACAGCTCCATCAAGCACCTCTAGAGGAGAGGTTTCATAACCGCCACGAATAGCCAGCACATCATTTATCTATTTTAGGAGACTGAAATCTATGTCTTTTACAGACTACCACGCTCAGGCGTACACTCATCTGACCCGTCAGCGGATGACTCGGTCTCTGCATGTTTGCCAAGTGAACCTCTAGCCATTATTATCCTTTGACGGCGTGTCCCGGGGTTATTTCTGGCTCTGGACCAATATTAGGTCCTGCGTACGATACTCCCTACACGCACGAGTGGTGCTTGCCAGTGCCCTCACCCAAGTGATTCTGGCCACTCCTTTCCAAGTGTCTTACCAATCAGTGGTACCACCGCCACTCATCATCGGCGATGCGGCTGAGACCTGGCGTCCATACGAGAAAAAGTGAGACATGCTTGAGACATGTAGTCTGTATACATATTCTTGGAGTGCATACAATGGCTGGACCCCCCAACATATAAGAACCAAGAGGGCCTCCAACTTCTGGTCTTCATAATTATCATCACGCTCCCCCAAAACAATCACGCTTTAACAGAAATAGTACAAGTAAAACCAGTTAAACTCCGAACCCACCAAGATGAAGTTTACTTTCACTACTCTCGCCCTTTTCCTCGCCAGCACCTCCGCGGCACCTGCTGCCACGCCAACCCCAAACCCTTACGCATACAGCATCGACAAAATCACCCTCTACCATCTCATCGAAAGCAACACCTGGGATCTAACCATCTCCCTAACAAAGCGAGACCCCTACGGTACCGCACTTGAGTCCACCTCCTGCCACAGCGCCTGGTAAGCCACATACCCACCCACCCATCTAACCTACCTGATAAACTTTTTTACCCGGCCTACCCTTCAAACAACAGGTTTGACAACCTACTAACTCATGAATCCAACCGTACAGGATTGACGGTGCTACTTATGTCGCTCGCGAAGTCTGTCAGGACCCAAACTACGCCTTTTGGCTGCCCAATGGCGCACCTGACCCCAAACAGGGCTGGGATGTCATTGTTGATGGACCGGTGGGGCAGGCCGATGGCGTTATTGAATACGGGCCTAAGTACAGCTGTGGCCCGTATAATGGCGAGATTGGGAATATTGATACCGAGTGTGCGACGAGGAACGGCGGGTGGTTTTTTCTTCATGAAAGAGAATCTGTTTAGCCGTGGGCTAGGTAAACCGCTGCTATACTGGAGGAGCTAGGAGGCTTCGGTATACGTTTTACCTACTTATGTTTGGATAGATTAGTGGGTATTTAGTGGGGAGCCTGTTATAGAATACGTAAATGTACCTAATATATGCTCGGCTTTTTTTTACTGAAAGCTGAAGGGCAAGTCGAAAATTAGATGTGGAATAGGGCGACTATATTCGTTTCTTGGTTTTCCATTGGAAAGCATCTTAAAAGCGAGTAATATTGAGCAGCATAGTTCAATATAGCAAAGTCTGATTTAAGGCACTGTGGACTAATCAATGCAAAGCCATAATAATATCCTGAACGCTCCTAATGCAGCTCCCTACAACGCCCTTGAACGCCAGCAACAAATGCATTCCAAAAAAAAAAAAAAAATGTGCCCATGTTCTAGTACTCGATCACTCTTTCAACCGCTTCGAAGCCCGGCCCATCAAGCTATCATCGGGTAAACCACTCCGCTTGGTTCCAGGGAGACTTCCGGTTCTAATATCGTTGTCGTCTTGGGTAACACGACGGTGGGGATATTTGCCTTCGGATCCATCAAAACAGTTTGCTGGGATCGGCCCTCCATTTGTAAAATAAGGATGTTCCAGAGCTTCAGCTGCTGTGATTCGTCTGGTTGGGTCATAATCGAGTAGCCGCGAAAGTAGATCAAAGCCATCATCGCCGGGTGTGCCGACACTAGACGTGGCAGAATAGCCACCATTCTTCAGGCAGTTCTGATACCAGCTTTGCAGATTTGAAGTCCTGCTGATATGATTCGGAGCGCGAGACATGGTCAGAGACTGGAGCTGGGAGTATTCAGGCATTGATACAATTCCCGGCCAGTTATCTTTGTGTGGTAGGCCCATGATATCAATGATTTTCATCATTTGATTGCGCTGGAACGGAACCGTCTTCTTGCTGTCCATCTTGGCTTCCTCTCCTTTGAATATGGGGCGGAGGGAGAGCAATTCAGCAAATATACATCCAACGGCCCATAGATCCACGGCAGGGGTATAGTGCCGGCTGCCCATGAGAAGTTCTGGGGCACGATACCAGATGGTAACGACCACCTTATCACCAGAGAATAGCGAATTTAGAGGCTTGTAGAACAGTCGCGCGAGCCCTAAATCCCCGATGCGAATAGCACCGCCAGATGTTACAAGGATGTTTGCTGGTTTCAAATCTCGGTGTAGAACCCAATTCGTATGGAGATATAGTAACCCGTTGAGAAGCTGAAAAAGAATCGACCTCACCATGGCCGCTGGAATTGGGTGTCTTTGCGGTTGGGTGTGGTGATGGATAATCTGGAGCAAATCATGCTCAGTATACTCGAAAACCATGAATATACATTTGTCTTCCAAAATGATCTCGGCCAATTGAACTACGTTAGCATGGTCGAGTTCAGAACACAGGGCCATCTCTCGAATTGCAGACTGCGAAAGACCTGTATACTGGATTATTTCGCCTTCTTTGTCCGGCTTGAACCTATTCACACTCAGTTAGTAATCCGAGGGAGAATATAAATTGGAGTCCCTGACTTTTTAATGGCGAATTCGCCTTTCTGGCCATTTTTGCCAAGGGCCTTGTACACTCGGCCATAGGTACCACTGCTGATGAAACCGACAATGTGGTACCTATCCCGTACGCGAACCTTACTGGTATATCCAGTCCCAGGCTGTCTCCTGGAATTGATATTTTCTTTGCATGAGGAAAGAGTCAGCATCAGGGACCCCAATGATCAGAATGCACAAAACCGTCCAAGCGAGCATTGATATAGAACAGATACCGAATGACTTAAAGTAAACGAGCAAGCAACAGCAACAGCAACAGCAACATTGGGTGCCTCTCAAGCTATTAATAGCCTCTGAGGGTTCAAGGGAAAGCCATTACCACGTGGATAAAACCCGCCGAGAGAGTTGAAGAACGGAAAATTCCTTCCAAGCATTATGAAAGGAATACAAGTAGTCAATTTGTTGCAAACCGAAATTCACCGTCAGAGGCCTGAGGTATAGGAAAAAGATTGACAGAAGCCTCTTCAGTCGGTGTACATGCTGATGGACCCAACTAAGTAAAGAACTGGTGGCAATAGAGCTTGTCCGTGGAGAAGGGGATCAAAGAAAATGTGAAAGGGCAAAAATAAAAAATAATAGATATTAATCAATATTACCCTCAACGGCAGTCTGCTGCAGACTCCTTTTTAAAGACAGATTCTGGCTGACGGCGGCCGCTACGGGCCTGGAGGTTGCAGTTAAGGGACCAGACGAAGGCGGGTTCGTCAGACTCATGGAGAGGACGCAGGAAATTGGCAGGAAAAGTGGAAGGTGGAGGTGGAGGCCGGTGCCGGTGGTCAGCTTGCCAGCTATCAATCAGAGCCAAGCGGACAACTCGGGGCCCATGGATTATGGAAGCACAGTGCCAGCGGCAAGCGACACGGAGAAATGCAAGCCCACTAAAGCATCTTACTCAATGAATGCGCAAGGAGTAATTTAACTGACGGTGATTGATGGACGGATGATGGGGAGTTGGAAAAGCGCAGCCAGTGGTTGGCGGCTGTTGAGCATGAAGCCGTGATGGGCGGGCCAGTGGTTAGTCAGCATTTAGCTGGGGTCCATGCCTAGGACACTTAGACAAGGACATGTTTAGGGCGTGTCGAAACGGTCCTAAAGATTCGCAGCCGCCGGGACTAGTCTGTCCAAGAATAAAGGCATTGCTACCTTAATTTATATGATGGGGGCCGAATTGGGCCAGGAATAACGATACGCAAATTGCGTTCCGCTGCACATAGCTCGGGTACGAGAGACCCAGTCAACGGCAAGATACCTGCACGACATGAGAGGCCGATTGGGTCCAGATTCACTTCGCAAAGATCACCCTTGATAGTACAGAGTAATTCTGTGCAGATAACTCCAAATACTAAGGAAATCATACCTATACACTATAGATATGCTGCTTCAGACCTGGGGACGGATGCTATCAGGTGACCTCCGGAGAGATAAGCGCACTAACCCGCCCAACATCCACTCCCGGCTCCTGCGACGTCACTCACCTCAACTCCTACCACAAGTTGACACAAACCCATCATCGACAGCTTCAATTACACCAGTCACAAAATCCCTTTTTCGATGGATGCAGTCAGACGTTTATAGCAGGATAGAGCTCCGATTTTCTCATGACATCTGGTCATATGGCTCAACCAAGGGTCACTCCATATCTCATCTACCTGGTGTTTATCACCACCTTGGGTCCACTTCAGTTCGGTTATCACCTGGTGAGCATACATCCGAGACCGGTCGACCATGACATGATCGTTGCTGACATTTAAATATAACAGGCTGAGCTCAATGCGCCCCAAGCTGTTATCACCTGCGAAAGGAAAAACATCCATTCCTCATCCATCATATCCGAAGGGCTACCGCAATGTATCCCCATGAGCCCATCACAGTTCGGCCTGGTTTCGTCGATTTACACCCTTGGGGGTCTTATGGGAGCTCTGCTGGCAGGGCCGGTGTCAACAAAACATGGACGTCTATTAGCACTACGAGCTACAACCTTTTTCTTCATCGCCGGTCCAGTGGCCGAAACACTTGCATTCAATATTCCAATACTGAGCCTTGGTAGACTTTTGTCCGGCGTTGGCTCCGGGGCAGCTATCGTTGTTGGTCCTATCTACATCTCCGAGATTGCACCACCTAGTGCCAAGGGATTTTTTGGTGCGTTCACGCAGGTCATGACCAATGTTGGTATCCTCTTCACACAAACACTTGGTTATTTCCTGAGCGAGGGGACTATGTGGAGGACCATCCTCGCTGTTGCGGGGGTTATCGGAGCTCTGGAGCTTCTTGGCCTCGCGTTGGTCCCGGAGAGCCCAGCCTGGCTCGTTGACCATCAGAAGCATGATCTAGCCAGGCGGGTCCTACAGCGGATACGCGGCAGGGACGCAGATATCCGTGGCGAAATAGACGGCTCCACAAGGTCCGAGGAGGACGCCGGAGAAGAGCAGTCGCTTCTCACTCCTCCCTCGAGCAACCTAACCCCCAAACAACCTCCAGTGACGATGGCACGGGTATTCATGGACCCTGACTACCGCCCCGCCATTATCGCTGTTGTTGGGATCATGGTAGCACAACAGTTCACGGGAATCAACAGTATTATCATGTACAGTGTCTCGCTATTGCAGAGCATTCTGCCAACAACTGCAGCCCTGCTTTCTGTCTTGATATCCGCTATAAATCTCGTCATGACCCTCGCTTGTTCACCACTACCCGACAAGATTGGTCGGAAGTCTTGCCTTTTGTACAGTATTAGCGGCATGGGTTGTAATTCTATCCTACTAGCTATGGGGATATATTTCAACGTGAAAGCCCTGTCTGCAATCGCCGTCTTACTTTTTGTCGCTTCGTTTGCGGTTGGTTTGGGGCCTGTGCCATTTATTATGGCCTCCGAGTTGGTCGGCCCAGAGGCTGTTGGGGCTACCCAGAGTTGGGCATTGGCCGCTAACTGGATCTCAACGTTTGTTGTGGCCCAGTTTTTCCCAATGTTAAATGACGCATTAGGTGGTCGGGGTAAAATATACTGGCTATTCGCTGCAATGGCCGGTGTTTTCGCGGGGTTTATCTACTGGAGAGTCCCTGAAACCAAGGGCAAGAGAAGCGTGGATGAGGTCTGGGGCAGGGAAGATCAGCGAAGGAGAGATTAACTGGTATTCCACTCGTAAGCGCCATCAAGCCTCAAGTGTCAGGCGACCGGCAGTTTTTTGTTTCCTATTCTCCATGAATTCCTCGTAAGGTATGACAATTCAGCAAGTTCGATCTACATCAAACCGGTCGGACCGAGGAACAGATACGCTGAAGGCGGTGCCGACGTCGACGACGGTCCTCCCACCCCAAGCCTAGCCTTAACCAAACGAACAAGTGGGATGTGCTTAGCATGACTGGGCGACGTAGATATCCTTGTCGGCCACCAACCCTGCTTGCGGCATGACCGCTTTGGGATGGAATGTAAGCAATAATATGGATGTTAGCATTGGGCTCCGGAGAGATTTGGCTCCTCGCTGGTCCGTTTACTCCAGAACCAGAATATGTCGTACACTCAACGTGGGGCAGCCCCTTGCGAGATAACAGAACACATAGCCACGCTGCTGGCGTTGGGTTCAGCCATGGAATGGTAACATTGCAGCAGTGCCAGGGGCTGTCCGTACTTTCGTACTATCATAGTCTCGCGCACTTCGAGACCCGGTTCTTACAGGATATACATCCTCAAACATGGCAAACCATGCAATTTGGGTCCTCGGCAGGGCCTAACGGCATTGCGGGACTGTGCACTCTATTATTGCCACGAAGCCACGGTTGACAGTTCCCCGCCGGTCGAAGTGCAGCGGATGAGGGGCTGGCTGTCAGTTGCGGGATTTTCATGCGGAGAGACTGAGAGTCGTCCAGTTGCAGACTCTTGGATGATTGAGATTCCCCATGGGAGGTTACTCTGCGCCATATCCCTAGCCACAGAGACAGTCTCGGCATACTAGGCAGCCACTTCTTGCACCCAAGAAGTCGGTGGCAGTGAGCACCGAGCAGTTGCCCTCTGGTGGGGTTATTGGTGGATCTGTGCTCTGCCTTGGCCTTGTCTAGCCTCATCGTTGTCTTGTTGAATCCTGTTCCATGTCGATATCAGACGCAACTATAGGTAATTTGATACCGCTGTTGGGGCTTGAGTAGGTGTGGTGATAGGGCAAGCAGGAATCCTCGTTGTCTCCAGGCGATGTCAAACCCTCACACTTCGTGGGCCGTAAGAGTGCGTACTAGGTACTGTAATTGAAGAGCAGCTTCCTGTCTCATGGACCCCACATCAGCCATGTCATTCGGGAGACTAAGCTATTCTTCCTGTTATTATTCACTCTCTGCTCTTCCTTCCACTTCGATCCGCTCTCCCTTGATTGCCCTCTTGATTTCCCTCTAGATTCTTAATTCCCTTCGCCTGTAAACTGTTAAGTCCCTTGTAATCGAAGCGATCTCCTTCCTCGTTCTCGTCTCCTCTGCAGTGACCTCATCTCGTGGTCATCCTGGATCGACTCGGGCAGATCTGAGATCGACCCGTATTCAGCGAACAAGCCAAGGCAATCGCTTCGCAAGTCCGCGACACCTGTCCGCCGCTGGAAGCGCCCCCAGCTCGCACGCACAGGCCAATCCCTTCGTTAATTTCCCTCAATTATATTCGCCGATCTCCTTTTCCCTCTATTCATACCCCAGAATTTCCTCCCAAGTTCTGCCCGGTCCCGTGGTTGACGCGTTTCTTCCGCGGCCGCCTTCTGCTTCTCCCCCCGCACTCTCCGAATAACATCATGGTGCGGTTAATGCCACAACGTCTCAGCTCTCACCTCAGCACCAGAAGCAATGCTTCGACACCGGGTCAGAGTAGAAGCACGAGTCCCATGAGGTCTCCGGATGTCCGGCCGCTGACCCTCAAAGTCTCAGTCCTGCGGGTAAGACGAGCCTTTGCTTGAATTACGTTTCCTGTGCCCCCGACCGTCGTTCATTTCGCTGACTCGTACTGTTCATTCAATTAGGGAAGAAATCTTGCCGCCAAAGATCGAGGAGGAACTAGCGATCCCGTAAGCATTCCCCGAGGAAATTACAAGCACCCGCACACCGGAGGGAGCTCGCTGCACAAGACCACACGCTTTGGTTGAATTTGCAAGCTGACGGCTCTTAAGTATTTGATAGTCACGCTCGGAGATGCCAGGCAATCGACGCCTACGATACCCAAGACATTAAACCCAGAATGGAACGTGACGTTTGAAATGCCGGTCGTCGGCGTCCCGTTGCTAGAGTGTATCTGCTGGGACCATGACAGGTTCGGTAAAGATTACCTAGGCGAGTTCGATATTGCTTTGGAGGACATATTTACGAACGGGGATATCCAGCAGCAGGTGCGTACCCGCAGCTTCCCTGCACCCTTGGGGACATGAGCTCATTATTATCAACAGCCGAAATGGTATACTCTCACGTCGAAACGGAAATCCGGCAAAAGGAAAGATAGCAACGTCTCCGGCGAAATCCTGTTACAGTTCTCGCTATGTGATTCTGTGGACCCTGCGGCTCCGCCGACGGATATATACTATAGGTTCAAGACCTTGGTCTCTAGCGGTGACGAAGACGATTACTTCCCCTCAGTATCTTCGTCAGCTATCATTGAGGAAACTGGGGAGCGCGATGATGAGGAAACGTCAGATGAAACTGATGATCCAACGAAACCAGAGGTGGTTGAAAAACGCAGGAAAAGACTGCGCCTGAAGCGCCTAAAACGCAAGTCTCTGGCAGCCAGAGCGTACCAATTCTCTGGTGTCGGCAATGGCGTGCAGGGTATTGTATTCATGGAGATTGTCAAGGTCACTGACCTCCCACCTGAGCGAAATGGTATGATTGCCGTTGATCGAGTTGATCTGCAGAAGCTGATTATTCCAGTGACTCGGACATCATTCGATATGGACCCCTTCGTCGTGACTTCACTTGGTCGCAAGACGCTCCGAACTCCCGTCATACGTCACAACCTAAATCCTGTATACCACGAGAAGATGGTTTTCCAAGTCATGAAACACGAACAGATGTACACAATGAGTTTCACGGTCATGGACCGAGACAAATTCTCGGGAAACGATTTTGTTGCTTCAGCGGGATTCCCGCTGCAAACCCTCATTCAGGCCGCTCCTGAAACCGATCCAGAGACAGGCCTCTACATGCTTTCTGAAGATGAAACTGGATCTCCAGCGAAATCCGATACTAAGATCAGCCCGGCTCCATCGTCAACTAGTCTGTCAAAACAAGCAAATCCGCTCACAAGATCGAGGAGCTCTACTGCGTCTCTATCGGTGCAGGCACAACCGGAGCCTCCAGCGACCCCTGCACTGATCCTTCCTGATGAAACCACAAGTAGTGGTCTCTCCGACGTTTCTACAGCTGCTAGTCCTGTCAAGCCAATTGGCTACGAATCAGATGGGCTCAGGCTCTATAAGATTCCACTGACGTTGAAGAACAAAGAAAGATGGGAAGATAAGCATTTCCCTGAGTTAATTGTAAAAGCGAAATACCTGCCTTACCGTGCATTACGGCAACAATTTTGGAGGCTGATGCTGAGGCAATACGACGCTGACGACAGCGGTAGCATCGACAAGGTCGAGCTGACAACGATGCTTGATACTCTTGGGTCCACGTTGAAGGAGTCAACTATTGATAGCTTCTTCGAGCGATTTGGCGAGGAGAGTGGATCAAACGAGCCTGTTTGTTTATCATTTGATCAAGTTGTGGTGTGTCTTGAAGATACACTTCAGTCGCTCCAGAAAAACTCTCGGGCTATGGGCAAAAGGCTCAGTCCAACTACGTCGACGGGCAGCCAGGAAAGTGATGGGCTCAGCGGCGACGAGCTCAATGTCGAGACTAGCTCATCCCTGCCGACCAATGCTGATCCTCAGGCTACATCTGTCCCGACGATCCCGACTTCGGAGCAAATCCCTACAAACGACGAAGAGCTCCATCCTGATGATTTGGGCGACGAGCGTGGAGAGGAACACGTTATTGAAATCCGAGAGTGCCCGCTTTGCCACCAGCCTCGACTTGGAAAACGGTCTGATGCCGATATCATTACACACATCGCAACATGTGCAAGCCAGGATTGGCGACAAGTAGACAACCTTGTCATGGGTGGTTTCGTGACTTCAAGCCAGGCGCAGCGCAAGTGGTATAGTAAAGTCATCACGAAAATCTCTTACGGTGGCTACAAGCTAGGCGCAAATTCCGCCAATATCCTGGTCCAAGATCGTATTACTGGGCAGATTAATGAGGAGCGGATGAGTGTCTACGTCCGGCTCGGAATCCGGCTCTTGTACAAGGGCCTCAAGAGTCGAGACATGGAGAAGAAGCGAAGTGAGTCTACCGGTGGTCTTATTTGATGAATATACGGAGCTAACCATTACTATAGTCCGCAAAATCCTCAAGTCGCTCAGCATCAAGCAGGGTAGAAAATATGACGACCCAGCTTCTGCGGCACAGATTCGAGACTTTATCAATTTCCACCAACTTGATATGGCGGAAGTTCTGCTACCTCTAAATCAGTTTAAGAACTTCAATGAGTTCTTCTATCGTGCACTGAAACCAGACGCCAGGCCTTGCTCTGCTCCCGATGAACCCGGTATTGTTGTTTCCCCCGCCGACTGCCGGTCCGTGGTGTTTGATCGCATCACCGAAGCAACGGGTATCTGGGTCAAGGGACGAGAATTCTCCATCAAAAGGCTCCTTGGCAATGCCTACCCCGAAGATGTTTCACGCTACCAGAATGGAGCACTGGGCGTTTTCCGACTTGCCCCTCAAGACTACCATCGGTTCCACATACCCGTAGACGGTGTAATGGGCGCTCCGAAAACTATTGAGGGTGAGTATTACACAGTTAACCCCATGGCTATTCGCTCTGCACTCGATGTATACGGCGAAAATGTACGAATTCTGGTGCCGATCGATTCTGTTGCGCACGGCCGAGTGATGGTTGTCTGCGTTGGTGCAATGATGGTCGGAAGTACGGTTATCACACGACAGACTGGAGAAAAGGTCTCGAGAGCCGAAGAGCTAGGATATTTTAAGTTTGGTGGTAGCACGCTTTTGGTTCTCTTTGAAGAAGGGAAGGTCAATTTCGACAGCGATCTGGTTGACAACTCAAAAGGAGCTCTGGAAACTTTGGTAAGTTCCTACCCGATCCCTTGCTGCATCCGACACATGGTTTCTAACTTGAACTCCTTGTTCGTCTCAGGTACGAGTGGGTATGTCTGTGGGCCATAGCCCCGATATTCCCCAGTTTGAGCCGGATCTGCCAAAGAAGGCAGAGGAGGTCAGCGTTGAGGAGATGCAAGCCGCCAAGCGCAGAATCGAAGGCAGCTTAGCGCCTCCAGCGCATGCCTCAGGGCTGCAGTAGGCGCAATCTGGACTGACACTGTATG